TTATATAAATAAATTATTAATTTATCACTATCCACGTATTTATGAAATTTAATCAGCCAAATTTTTCTATCGATGTGGAATAATCACCATGTGAAAATTGACTTTGAAAACAAGGTGACCTTACGCACCGACAAAGAAATTTGGGGTTGGTTAGAAAATTGAATTATAACATGTTTTCCTAGGGATCAAGGTCAAAGGATAATTAATTTGTTGAAACTTTGACGATAATGTCACAGATACAGAGCCAAGACAAAAGGCTGCAGATAACTAAGCAACTAACCAGGACGATTAAGATGCAGGTTCAATGCCATCTCATATCTCCTACTGCTTGTTAAATATATTTAGAAAATAATTGCATTATAAACCAAAAAAAAAAAAGAAACTAATTTTTCCTAATATGTCACACGTCTCTGATCTTCAGGAAAGATGAGATGTTCTGAGAGAAGCAGAGGAAGAGTGGTTCAATGACCCCTGGGAAGTAGAAAAATGTGGTGTAGGACTTCCTTCGATGCTCTGGCTACTGGACATAGATACTCGGTGGTCTCTAATCAGTTTAAACCTCAGATCATCACTGTAAGAGCTTGCATTTACTGGATCCGGGGTGGTGCTTCTTCCTTCCAGCATGCCTACAACTTCAGACATTGTCGGTCTTAATGTGGGGACGACATTGGTGCATAACAGTGCTACTTTGATCACCGTCTCTGCTTCTGCCTTGTTAAATTCTGATCCCAGCTCGTCATCCACCAGGTCCAATAGGTTTCCATTTTGTAATAATTGACAGGCCTGCAAACCCGAAGAAGCATTGATTCTCAACTTGCTTATCATTAATTCAGGAAGAATGGTATGAAAACGTAAGAGACGCTTGGAGAAAAGGGTGTAAATTAGTGATTACCCATTCCAAAAGGCAAGCATACTTATTCTCAGGCCCATAAGTCGTATGGTTCCTCCCACTGACAATTTCCAACACAACTACTCCAAAACTGTACACGTCTGCCTTGTATGTTAAGTAACCCCCTAGTGCATACTCAGGAGCTATGTATCCTCTGCATTTAAATTCATCATATGAATTCATTAAAGTTCTGGATTCCTTAATGAGAGCAACAATGGAAAATGATTGTAACTTACATTGTTCCAGCAATTCGCGTGCTAATATGGGTTTTATCCTCCTGGTATAGCTTAGCTAGCCCGAAGTCACATATTTTAGGACTCAAGTCTCTGTCTAGAAGAATGTTGGTAGCTTTGATGTCCCTGTGAACAATCTTATATGTAGACTCTTCATGGAGATATGCTAAACCTTTAGCTATCCCAACACAAATCCTGTGCCTGGTTTGCCAGTCTAGATTCATTTGACAACCTGGCCCTACAGTTAATCATTCCAGGAAAAATCCATGATCAAAACCCTTCTGACTCTATAAGTTGTTTCAATATTCCAACCCAAAAGAACAAATCAGTCCAGCATCTTACTCTAGAATAAACTTACCAAACAAAGCTCGAGAAAGGCTATTATTTTCCATGTATTCGTACACTAGTAACAGTTGATCCCCTTCAATGCAGCATCCATAAAGCTTTACAAGATTGGGATGTTGCAGACATGAAATCATACGAATCTCATTTAAGAATTCCCGATTTCCCTGACTTGATTTTGAAGAGAGCTGCTTTACTGCAATTACTGTACCATCAGATAACTCACCCTGCAGTCCAGTATGAACAAATATATTTTGATTAGAACCTTTGATGAGGTTAGGCATTACAATAGGGTCCATGACAAAGTAAAATTTGGCTTGATACCTTGTAAACAGGTCCAAATCCACCTTCTCCTAGCTTGTTTCCAGGATCAAAATTGTCAGTGGCAGCGCTAATCTGCTTTAAGGTAAACAAACCTGTTTGAAGATCTAGTTTCCTAAGATCTGAAGATAAATGGAGAGCAAAAAAGCATTAGAAATAATTTATGACATAGTTTAACATAAAATACTTAGTCATGTTTTTGAGAGAAATGACTTTGGCACCGAATTACTTCGAACCTTCTCTCCTTTTCTTGGCTCTGAAATAGTATCTCCAGAAAAGGATACCCAGTGCTAGCAAAACAAGACATGATCCAACAACACCAACAACAATTGGTACAATCTCCATTTCCTTCTGTACATAACGAGGTCTAAAATCTGCCCAAAAAATTCATCAATCAAGATGAATCAAAATCTTTCCATGCAAGGATAGAATACATATACATATAACGCTGCTAAATTTACAATTTCAAGATTAATCCAATTAGAAACTCAATCTGCATAGTCGTATTTCCAAGGATTGAAACACGAATTTGCAGTAGCTTTTAAGTTCTAACAATAAGAAATGTATATGCTGCATTGTATTTCATACGTTATGCTACTAGGTGGGGAAGAAGAATATCACATACTGGGATCCACGGATATGGCTGATATGAGTGGACCATGGACTCCACGAGTGGGGATTGCTTGAGTTCCTTTGCCAGCCCAACAGAAGCGGATCTCTAATTTACCATCTGTTACATTAATATTGAATTGTTTTGTGAATGGAGTATAAACCCCACCAGCGTCAGCTTCTATATTGAAATCTTTCTCCACTATCTCATCCTGCAACATGAAAATACATATCAAGCACAATCCTCTCTAAGAACACCATTCTTCCAATGCCAGGAACTCAACATAAATCTTTTAAAAGAAACTATATTTCTCAATTGTAATCATTTACCTGAATATAAATATCAAATATACGTCTTCCAAGACTTGCAAATGTTGCGTCACTTTTGAACTGAATCTCTGCAAAATGCAGGCGTACCATATAGCTCCCATTTTCGAGACAATGTTGGTAATAAGTAAGAGAAAGAGGAGAAAGCCGTGCTGTAGTGTACAATTTGGGAATGTCTGATGATTGCACACTTGCAAGAAAACGCAGTGGTGCATTTTGTTCATCATTGTCGTCCCTGAAGTCTCCAGTGTTACTAAATCCCCAGTTATTAGAACCCTGGTATAATGATGCAGCAACAGCACTGGATTTTCCATCTCCAACATATGTTTTACCATTTATTTTCACATCATCTCCACCACAATTGATATACAAGGAGTGCCAATCTGCCAAAACACAAACATATTAGAAAACAACATGGACTGAAACCTATTGGTCTTAGAGGACAAAGTTTATAAAAAGACCATGTTAACAACAGAAAAAAAAAAGGGAAAGAAAAACAGGACAAGAAGAAAACATGTTCTCAAACCATTCATCCTCAGCAATGCAGCACAAGAATTAATGAGATAGTTATAGAACAGGAATATGAAATCCTTAACTTATCCATGCTTTTTCTTCCCTCACTAACCCACTCTTTCTAATGCTTACTGTAAAATATCAATATCCATGAAACCAGCTAGTTAATCTACCCATCTTAAAATTTTAACTTCAAGCTCATTCATTGATTTTTTAAATGAACTCCTTTTCCTTTCCTGCCAATCATTATCAAACAAATGGTAATGGACTATATAAAGTATAGACTGAAAACATGTATTGAATTTTAAAGTTATCAAGGATTTTTGTGTACATATAACTTCAAGGAATCCATTTTACCAGAATGAGAAAGAATGCTGAGTACATTATTACTATACTCCATTTGTAATCAACAAACCTACTGTTTTATTTCCATCTTTCAAAATCAACCACATTACCACATGCTGCCTTGAAGTTCAATTAAAGGAGAAATTTTATTAATTTGAACAGGATACTCTTTTATCATCTCTATAAAGCACTCATATAACTAACTTTAAAAGATAACAGACAATTTAGATTTTGTTACATGCTTTTTGTTTTTGTTTATTTCTCGGTAAAGAAATTCAAAGTAAATTCAGCAAAAATGAGTTCATAGAAAAACAAATTCTCAAAGGAAAATGTATTTCATTAGATCTGCAGGTAACATTTTCGTGTACTTACATTTTTGGCACTTGAAGTCAGTTGCACACGGAAGAACTCTACTCCTGGTTTAAGCCATGAAAGAGGAAAATGAAACTCATCATTACCATACGAGCCTCTTGTAGGGCCAAATGCTAATATAGCAGAAATATTACTACCGAGGCATATCAACCTTAATTCTTAAAGTATAATAGGTATGTATCATGCAAGCTTCCTAATTAAACAAAAGAAATGAAAGTTTGGAAGAGAGCTAAAAAGTCCTAGAGAGGCAGAGAAATTTGGTACATCAAACTTCGAAACAAATTGCAACATATAGCAAGAAAAGTAGCTTACAGGTTCTTTGTTGAAGAACTTCGAAACAAATTTATATTAGCATTCCTGTTTAGAAACAAAAGCCAACAACTTTCAGTAATACTGTGACACAGGAAAACACATTACAAAATCCTAATAGACTAAAGTGAACAAAGAGGGAGAAAAAGTTTTCTACCTACAAGCAGGCTGCTCAGGACTTTGCCATGTGAAATTATTGTACGAAAGGTCCCTGCACAGAACAGAACAGAAGCATCTTCTAAATTATCTCCACATAATGATGGTACATGCACATGATATATATACCTTAAATATATAGAAGAATGAAACACAGAAAGAAAATACATACACTCCAGTTCCTGTCTTTGAGACTGATGCTGGTATATTTCCACTGAGAGAGTTGTTTGTGAGGAAGCTGATCTCAGCCATACACATTAGTCAGTATGATAGATATTTCCAAGTTTTTGTTTTGTAACTTCCTGAGTTCTTTTTTCACCAGAAACAAAGGGGGGGGAGCGAACTTACATGTACTTTAGATTCATAGCGGAAATGGCATTGGGAAGTTCACCACTTAAACTATTAAAACTAAGATCCCTGTCCAAAATCAAGCAAAAAAAGCAGTCTGCGTTTACTTAAAATTTCAAAACTAAGAACAGAAGACTGCATCTGAATTAGGACATAGAAGACAAATTATTGCTCTTTTTTTTGCCTTTAAATTGATACTCCCAAAAGTACTCTATAGTTTCTACCAGAAGCTAATTAGATATTTTATTATTGATGATTCATGCAATAACATACTTACAATATACGTAAGTCACTCATTCCCCAGATATATTCAGGTATTTCCCCATAAATGTTGCAATTCTTCAGAATTCTACAAGATCAGTATCTGTTAGATCTAGGGATCAAGGAGTAACACCGATAAAAAAATAAGCAATGGACATACATTCGTAGGAAGCCAGTCATGCTCCTTAGATCAGGGAAGGCTTGACTTATTCCATTTATGTCAGTGATCTTCCTGTACATACACACACCATTAAAATTGGATTGTTTCGCAGCAATAAATTAGTGTAAATAATTGAAGACACAGATGCCGTTAAGTATCCACTATAAGCAGAACAAGAAAGAAGCCCTTTAACTCACAGTTCTACCAGATTTTTCAAAACAGAGATGGACGATGGAATAGGCCCTTCAAGTCCACTAGCTTGCATTTCTCTGCTTGATTTCAAGAATCTTAATACCTTTTACTTAAATTCAGATTTTAAGAAGCCTAGAAAAAAACTTTTAAATATCAGGATCTTACAGTCTGGTAAGTTGCTTCCAGTTTTGAATGAAATCTGGTATGCTCCCATTGAAGTTGTTGTCATTTATCCTACTGCATTTTGTGATAAGAATATTCCACAGGTTAAAATTCCTCCAAAAACTTTGTGCAATTCAAATTTTCACAAGTCTGTGATATGTTTACAAGTCAGTTAGATTTTTTAGATCACCAAGTTCTCTTGGCAAACTTCCACTCAGCCTATTGTAGGAGAGTCTCCTGCAAGAACAAATAACCATCTTCCTTAGAAGAGAAAAAAAAGCAATAAGAAGAAGAACATAGAAGTAAATTTCTTTCTAAAAGAATGGCTAAGAATGCAAAGTTCAATAGAAGAAGTATCCTAACTTCCTTACAGAGTTTTAAGATTAACTAACTTCCCAAGGTCATGGGGTACTTCTCCAGCAAACTGGTTGATTTCAAGGTCCCTGAAGAGATAGATTCAGATTACCAAAAAATTACATCACTCTTCAAGTAATTGTCACCTCACATGCAGAAAGAGTCAAAACATACATGCATACATAATTACATGCATATAGACATATAAATCATGGGCATCTGTGCATTGGGACAAATTTGCAAACGAAATTGCTTTGTGAGCATGTAAAGTATTTGAATATTTCTCATTGCAAACTCCCAAAAAAAAAAAAAAATACAGCCTGGAAGACACATACAATTTGCATGAAATAAAATCCTTAAAGACTACTGTTTGATGGGAAAAAAAAATCCTTAAAAGAATGACAATGAGTTACACAAGTTGAGTAAACAAAAATAGAGTTTTTCTGGAGTGAAAGAGTATTAGTTAAAAAACATTTTCAATTAATAAGCAGAGTACTGTTAAACTTACAAGTATCTAAGGCTGCTGATGTTCCCCAAATAGCTTGGAAATTTCCCAGATAATCGGTTAGCGAAGGCAGAGCTGCATTAAAAGTTTCTTGGTTAACATGAAAACTAATGGTCTGGTAGTTTCTGTTAACTATTCGAGCCATTGTAAATGGTCAATGACTCCATAACTTGGTGATTAATAAGTTCAAGCTTTTCTTTCCTCAAATCAAGACATAAGGATGTGATGGGTAAAACTGTAAAACCCAGAGAGGAAAGTGCCCTCTATTCTGTAACTCAGCAAATATAGAAAAGGCAATAATTAGAGACAGAATAACTTACATGAACTCTAATTGCGTTGAAGCCCATTCAGGAGGTATTGAACCATTTAGGTAGTTGTAGGCCAAATCTCTGCATGCCAAAAGAAAACACGGAGATATTTAAAATTTGCTGCTTTTCAACTTCTAATGAGCTAGATGTAGTGGAAATAAATTTACTAAGCAATCTCTTTTATTTATAGAAAGGATGTGCAGAGAGAGTTGTCCTGCTTACATCTTTTTAAGGAAAGGAAGCTGGACAAGTTCTGGTGGGAGTACTCCTGGAAGACTGTAATGCTGGAATACTCTGAAAATTCAAAAAATCCCAATATTGGTCATTTTTTTCACCAATCTCCATGCAATAACCAAAACAATTTTCTTGCCTATATGTCTGTAATCCTTTTTGTCTCTCCTCTTCTTGTAGCCTAAGCTCATGAACATGCCTGCTAGAAACTAAAATTCATAATTTCCTAACCTAACTATATGCAGGATCAGATCATCTTTTCAGTTAGCCTACTCTGCAAAGTATAAATTGTTTTTCAATAACCAGTTTCAATCGAAAATGATTGATAAATACCAGTATCCTAATTCCTACACCTCTCCTTCCCCAACCAAGCCAACCCCATCTTTACCACAGAGCCAAAGCCCAAGTGATTCATCTTTTAGGCAACAATCAAATGGATTCTGAATCCCATTTCTGAACCTTCTTTTAGTTAAACATACAGTTATGAATCATCAAAATTTTTTGTTGAAGCATATTCTGTTAATAGGAAGGAAGAAAACAAAAACAATGCTTAATTATGTATCATCTATTGCAGCATAAACACAAAAACCATTCAGGCATAAATATCCACAGTTTAAGCTTCCAACGTATTCATATTCATTTGGAAAATGGATTCAAGAGGAAACTTGCAGCTCTGTGATGTGGCAGGTCTCGTTCTGGCAGCTGCAAGTGATGTTCATCACAGGAGCTGTTTCCTCAGTTGGTGCAACATACTTTCCACAAACATTGGCATCAAAATTCCAGTCAGTACCCCCATTTTTTTGAGCAATTTGATCAGCTCCCATTGTTTTGGCGATTTGATTCAGAACTTTCACTGCAACAACATCGAAATCTCACCATTCCAACCTACTAAACAAGGTTAAAAGAACAAATAACCCATAATCCATAATTCATCATACATACCCTCATCTTGAGGCAGTCTAGCAGCATCAGTTCTCTGCAGCCCTATCCAACTCAAAGCCAGAACTGATAAAAAAAGCGCTTGTTTAGAAAACATCTCAGAAACACAAGAATCTCAGCCTCTTCAACCAAGTCCTCCTCTTTAGAATTACAGACAGTTCCTAAAATTCTTTGCTTAGCTACTCATTTTCTTTCCCCATGGAAATAGAACTGCGAAACTAATGACACAAGGGGAAATAAATACTAGTCAAAAGCTTATGAAAAGAGAATTTCAGTTGAAACTCATATTTCCATTGGAACACCGTTGACCCACCTCCAGTTTGCACACACCATGATCCAGAAATATGATTTGTCTGGGTGTTTTTTTTTCTTTTTTACAAGATAATGATTAGAAGTTAAGTTAAGAATTATTAGCTGCTCAAGATACGATTTTAGAAACGCGCGGCCCCATCGGATCGCGTGGTGAAGTTCCAGTGCCTTTTCTTTGAATCTTCGGAATAATGGTCAATTGCGTCGCACTCACATATAGTAAATAAAGTGTCTGGTACTTGGGACACCGCTGGCTGCCACCATCTCCCAAAATACTAATTTGCTTGACTATCTATCAACATCAAGTTTTGAACTTTATATATATATAGTAATAAAATAAGATAAGTTTTTCCAACTGTTCATCCCGGTTAAGTGGTATTAGAGTCGGAGTCAATACTGTTTATCTAATGTAAGTGGCATGTTTAAATCTTATAAAATATTATTTTTATTTTTAATTAAATTATAAATAATTATAATATATTCAAAAAATAAAAATAAGTTAAGTTTTCCAAACTGTTCATCCCGGTTAAGTGGTATTAGAGTCGGAGTCAATACTGTTTATCTAATGTAAGTGGCATGTTTAAATCTTATAAAATATTTTTTTTATTTTTAATTAAATTATAAATAATTATAATATATTCAAAAAATAAAAATAAGTTAAGTTTTCCAACGGAGCTAGTACGAGTACCCGGTTTTACAAGTAGATTAGTAGAATGCAAATTTTGACGAGAAAAACGCACGCGGAAGGGATTTACCCATGACAAAAATGTTAATCACTTTTGGCAACAAAAAAAAAAAAATCCAAAATTATATTAGTTTATTAATATTTATGGCTTTTTAATATTTTATTATAAAAATTTATTTTATTATTTAATAATTACTTTAAAAA